CCTTCCCATATCTTACCATGGAATCTAATTGTTCAAAACAAGCTCTAGAAAAAGCTCTTCTAAGATGAAGGCATCTGTTAAATATTTTTCTAACTGGGAGGCTGATTTGTGCTGACCCAGCCACTTCAAGGACTTAACATGTTTAAGGGATGCAATATCATCTTAGGCAGCACATCCATGACTCTTTGTCTGAAACTTTTCTTGGCCTTCAGATCTGAATGGACTGGCAATTGTGGATATCTTATAGAGAAAGATGTAATTATTGACTTTAGACAGGTATTTGTGGGCACTAATTAAGAAGTTCTGTTACAACACCTTTATGCAGATAGGGTTAATTGTTACAGCCATGTCTATATTAATTTGGAAAGGAATTAAATGTTGATATTACCTATCTCTCATTTATTTTTGTGTTAACTCTACAGTTGAAAGGCTGACTAGTACAAACTTTCATTCACCCAATTTGGCTGGAAGATGCAAAGGTATTTTAAAATATTAATTATCAAGAGACAAAGGTAATGAACTTTACAAAAAGACCAACCTAACATAGATGGCAAATAAATGGCACCAGAATTGACAAAGTTATGCTGTTTAAATGGGGGAAGGGAGGAGAATAGCACTTTAGGTAATAGAGCCAAGGCAGACTAAAATCAAATCTGCAATTGAAAGTGCAGCTAGAGTTCTTCAATTAGCCTTAGCTTGTCATACTATAGTGATCACCATATATCATCTACAATTATGATATTTGAAGCCAAGGTAGTAGCATAATCAAAATTTCTAGACATTATCTTCTCAATCCCTGATGAGTATTAAATGAAAACTTACTTACAGTTTGCAATCAGTATAAGCATAGGCCCATTTATTTAATTATAGGCTTCAATTAATTCTTTGTTATGGACTGGCACCTGTAATTCTATTAATTTTCATTCTTCCTGGAAGAGATGCAGGGCAGCAAACCTATAGTCTTACAGAATTACCTGTGATTTTAGTATCTATAGGTTCTAGATAGCACTCAATTGGCTTATGAATTTCAGAGAGATCAGAGTGTAGGACATGGTACCTTCAAAAAGTCATAGCCAGAAACAAAGAGCTTCTATGTTGATATGGTTTAATGTTCTATCTTCAGCCTTGCTATAGTTTTGTAGTACTGCTCTTATACAAATTTGCATCTCATAGATATTATTTTAACAAAGATGGCTGGCAGGCTGGAACAACAATATGTATCCTTTCTATTATCAGGTATTAAGTTTTATAGCTGGTCAAGGACCATAATATATTTGTCATAACAAAGTTTCCATGCAATTATCCCACAATCCACACCCCAAATCTCTTAATAGTTGAAAAAAACTACAATCAGTCCCAAAGGCCTCCTTCATCTCACTGATCTCAGTATCTGTTGTTGTTACCCATCAACTTATTGTGATTCTCATCCCCAGGATGGGGAACAAACTTGCCCAGGCTCAACAGTCAGAAAAGAAAAATCTGAAGAGTTATTGCCACAGTGCCCAAAATTATTCAATTACTCACTACTGGAGGGTGCATTTGCTGCAATGGTCCCACTTCATTGTCTTCTAGATCATCCAGAACCACCACTTCTGTGCATGATGTTCCTGATAGCCTCTTAAATTGGGGGAGTCCTGCTGATACCTGCAGTAATTAGAATAGGCACAAAGTTTAATTTAAAAAAGCCAAACAGGCCTTTCTATGACTTCTCAGTGCCCATACCCTGGGTCAGACAACAGATCTGGCATCAGAGGGGAGCTGTACATACAAAGACACATACAAACAACATTTCAAAGGAAGCTGAAGGACAGATTATGCAGGGAAGACAAAATACATGGGACTGCAAGGCAAATCATATTTAATAGTTATATTTTATACTGTACTATTTATGTTTTTATTGGTTTTAACTGCTTGGTTGTGAACCGCCCAGAGTCCCTCCTTGTGGGAGAGTTGGGCGGTGATATAAATTTGATTTATAAACAAACAAACAAACAAACAAACAATAGACCTCCCAACAAGTCTCTTTGAAACATCTCTTTAAATATGTGAGCCCAGAAATATGTACTGAACAGTTGGGAATCTATGAAACTACAGCTATAAGAACATAAGTAGTTCCCTGCTGGATTGGACCCTTGGCCCATCTAGTCCAGCAGTCTGTTCTCACAGTGGCCAACCAGCTGCACAAGAAAACCCACTTGTCTCCCAGCAGATGGCCTTCAAAGGCAGTCACACTGCCATCAAGTGTAACAGTCACTGATTTCCATGAATTGGTCCAAGTGTTTTTTGAAACCATCCAAACCTGGATGAAATAATACGAAAGCAAAGGATTGAGAGATTAAGATTTTTTCCCAGGTCAAAACTTCACAAGCATCAAATTGCAATTCAGTTCCTTTGTTCAGTTCTGAATGGGAAGGCTTGCTAAGTCTGTACAGAGTCTATGTCAGTTTTATCAATTAAGTTAGTGACACTCTTTCCCTGTGTCCTGCACTTCCATATTCACTCTAGTATGAAGTAGAAGGACTTGAATTATAACAGAAAATCATTTTACCAGAACACTAAGGTACTTTGACAAGGAGATATACCTTAAGCTAGAGCTTACCAGACAGTCATTGGATGACTGACAGTCCCCACTTGGTTCTGCATGTCCTTGCTTGATTTTGGGAGAGGTGGCAATAAGGAGATTGACTGCAGGCAGTTTGGTATCTGGATCCTATCAGATACAGTTACCGAAACATTAGAGTCCATAAATGAAGAGGTCTTAAACCTGGATATTTCAAGCCATATAAAAGCTGCATTTTTTTAAAAAAAAAGAGCCACAGGCACACTCTCTACTGCAAGCAGTATGCAATTGCTGCTATTGCTCAAGCCCAATCGTGCCATGTTAGCATGTTCATTCAATAATTCATTACTCAAGAAAAAAAAACCTTGCTCAGGACACAAACCCCCTGTGTGAGATCCCCCTCTGCTTGACTTTTGAAAACCAGGTGATGCATACAAACAGAATTAAAAAAGAGACAAAACATACTTTAAATATGATATTGTGTGGGAGTGAAGGTCAACAAAGGCCTTGCAGTTTCAAAGGAATACATGTCTGGCCCAATAGCGAATCTACAATTTTTGTGTCTGTGTATCTCGAAAAAAGAGTAGGATAACTTGAAAAATGCAGTTTTATTTGAAATTTGAATATAGTATTGGTGCAGCCATGAAAAGCTCAACAAATTTAGGACGGGACCTAAATGTGGAGCTTCTACATGTCCATTCCCAATTTTAAAGGAAGAAAATCGGTAAATATTAATGTAGTATACTGGAAAGTATTCGCAATGAAGTATTTTTAAGAAAAATCAACACCAAACAAGGATCTCATAAAGGCTAACCAAAAGCAGCTTTTTCTATAAAAAGCAGCTTTTTCCGTAAGTACAAAAATGCCAGGTCCCAATCCCTGCCTTAGCTAAATATACAGCAGTTAAGGATGAAAAGCCAGTGCATGCAGAGATGCCCATATTGTTTAGGGCAAACTCATGGAGATCCTTTCAGGATGCAAGAGCCTCTTAAAATCATTAGACTTTCAGGATGTCGCCATCCAACTTTCCAACACTCCCCCCCTCCCCCAACTCTACCAAGCATATTAATCAATGATTTTTAGCACGCTATTCAAGTCTGTTTCAGTGATCAGATATTGAATTTTGTTTAACCTTTATTATTGCTATTTTAATCTTCTTCATCACAATCTAAAAGCTAATATTCTGTTTTTATTTCAGTGTTACTCTATTTTCAGGCAGGGACAAACAAAAAAGTCTAAAAATATAGCAACTCCCACCACCACTCCCTAAGCATGTAGCTCTAACATTTGACATTTCAGTTGGCAAAACAGCAGCCAACAGTGTTTAAGGGAGGAACAGCCTAAGTGTCTTAAAAGGGACCAGCTCTCACCCACCTTTCCTAGGATCCAGGCGGGCAAGATGGGGTGGTGAGGTACATCTTGCTCTTGCTTGGTATGGGGTGACACGATGGAGCACTCATTTGTAGGTTCTTGGGGGCCAGAAGAGACGGTTTTCTCTGGTTCCTTCTTCAGCTTCGCTGGCGGCAGTTGCTGCTGCTCCTCCTGCTGCTTAGGCTTCTCTAAGCCCAGGGACTTGGGCACCTCCGTCCACTCACTGGTTGAAGAGGATTCCTTCAATGACACGGGAAAGGAAAGTAACAGACATAAGCCACCTTATACTGGCTCAGCCTATTTGTCCATCTAATTCAGAATCATATGTGATAACTAACAGTGTTGTTCCTGGTGAGAAAGAAATCACCCCAGTTAAGGGTTGTCCAGCCTGTTAAACTGAAGATACAAAGGACTGAACCTGGGACTGTTCCACAAGCAAATGTATAATGCCCCTCCCTGGACTTCTTCTGTACAGGTAGTCCTCGCTTACAAATGGTAATTGGGACTGGGAAGTCTGTTGCTAAACGACATGGTTGTAAGGCACAGTGTCATGTGACCACACCGACTTATGACAGCAGTTCTGACAGTCCCAGCTGCCATCAGTAGGTGAATTCCACATGGTTGCAGCATCCTGCAATTGCCTTTTGCAACCTCCTGCTGACTTCCCCATTGACTTTCCTTGTCAGAAGCCAGCAGCGAAGGTCGCAAATGGTGATCACATGACAGTGGGACATTGCAACATCATAATTGCGAGCCGGTCACCAAACGCCTGAACCATGATCATGTGACTGTGGGGACGATGTGATGGCCGCAACTATGAGGACCCTTCGTAATTCCCCCTCATTCAGCACCATCGTAACTTTGAACAGTTGCTGAACGAGCGGATGTTAAGCAAGCATTACCTGTACCTCCATATATAAAACCAGAATTTAGTGCTGGGTGGTAGCATAAGGATCTAGCTGCTTCAGCTGTTGAAATGTTAAGTCTTTAGAAAATCTCAGAAGCCAACAGCTCTTATCACTGAAAATGGGAAGGGTGGGAGGAATGGACAAATGCTTTTTTTACTTTACCTCTAGAACAGAAATCAGCAAGCTTTGGAGTGCTATTTCATGTGATGTCCCAGGCATCGCTCTTATCATATTTTTAAAAATCATCTGAAATCTAACAAGGTTTTGATAATCTCATAAAAATGTGGTGAAATCTTTCAACACTTCAGCCATTAAAAGGAAAAAACAAAATGGGAAGCATGATGAAGTTGATGCAAATAATGTTTCATTATTCAGATTTATGTTGCAAATATTAAGTGGAAAGAACAGAAACTGGGTCATATAGCCACCTGAGAATCCTTGCTCTCAGTCTTATTTAGGACTATCTTTTTTCTTTCCCAACCCCCAATCTGCAAGGTACCTGCCATAGTCATGCTAAAAAAGTATAAAGAATATCTGCAGCATTTCCAAGTGCCCTGTTGCTGACTAATCTTTTGTTTTTAATCACATGTCTTCCTGCTGTTTCTAAAGGGAGGAAGCATGATTGACCCAGTTGGGCTGGCATAAATGTTTTCATCTCCCTACCCATCCATCTCTGCTATACCCCTTTTAGGCCGTTCTGACGTTGGAAGTTCCAACATAAGGAAAGTCAGCCTTGCCCACCAGCCCAGGGAAGAATCAGGCCCTAGTTCTCTCTTTGAACTCAGAGGGCAAAAGCCAAAGGATCCTATTGCCTGGGATGCTATCCTAAGCAGCACATGATAGGTTATTTCTTAATGATTTCAAGTCCCACGCAATAATACATCATCTCATAATTACATATTCATAAACGATATTTAAGATTAAAATCTACCTCTTACCAGTTGTCACAATGTCTATTAAAAATATATTAAGATGAATGCCATTTTCATTCCTGGTCCCATTTTCTTGCTTTGAGACTTATAGGAAACTGTGCTGGCTTGCATTTCCTCAATTGAAAACCACTATTTTTTATATTTTAAAAAGTCAAAAACGCTGAGCTGAAAACTGTACTATTATGACATCTGACCTTTCCAAACTGCCCACAGTGAAAGCTACAAGTTTCAAGTTGGAAAGCAGGATTCAGACTGGTAACTTGGATTGGAAATTCACAAATAGTTCAAACTGCTAAAGCATCCCTAATGTCTCTTCTCTAGATGGGCAATCAGGACACTAATCTTATAATAAAGAGAGTAAATGCCCTACATTGATCAGAAAATTAAAATGCATCTAGCCATTTCACAGCACTGAATTAGAATCCAGAAAGGTTTCTGTGCAATGCTCTCCAATCCTGCTACTCTTAACCTTGATCCAAGCTTCCCAGCAGTACCACACCAAAAATATAGACAGCAGGAAGGATGGAGGTATCTCATGGAGGCAATTCTGGAGAAGGAGGAGATGGTCATAAAGGTAACTGGGTCAAGAAGAGAAATGAAGGGGACTTCTGGTGGGAACATGGTGGCTTAGACACCTCTCCACAACAGGGAGAGATGGCACCGCAGCTGGACTGGTAGCTGGCAGCAAACTCCGGCCGCCCAACTTGCTCTGGATAAAAGAGGAAGTGAGGAAATTGACCCATTTGGTCTCCTGACAGCTGTTTCTTGAAAGCTAATTGTGCAGACTGAAGCCTCTGCAAACAGCTCTCGAGCCAAGTGGCTGGGAGGTGGGGGAACCATCTCCATTTGCCACTGCAGTGCAGCCTTAATGGACACTAGAGCCAACTGATTCTCATTTATTAAACACTTTGGTTTTTAACTATTTTTCAGCTTAAGAGAGACTTTCCTTCACAACAGGTAAGTAAATCTCTTGGGGCTTATCCTTACTTTTGGAACTATATTTTTAAAAGAAGAAATAGAGTTTTAGATTAAGCTGATTAATTCACAAAAAGCTGGAGGAAAAGTGGAATTTAAAAGAGACTTAAAATTTACTTATAGCGAAAAAGGAAGATTTTTCGTTTTGGCAGAGGGTGTGTGGGAGTGTAAGGTTTGGTGGAGGGTGGGTCCTGGCGGTGCCTAGAGCGCGAGCTTGTGTGCCAGGGCGACCCTCCCTCACCTGTGAGTGTTTGGGTGTGAATGAGGATGAGTGGCTGGAAGGAGAGACCCTTGCCCCGGATTAGGGACCCCGGAGGTCCAGGAGTGGAGGCACTTGGGCCCAGAGCCCCCGGGGATTATGCGGTGGGCTACACTATCGAGGTAGTGATGGGTAGGGAATGATATGGCGGGAGCTGGAAGGCGGGCCAGCTTCGGGGAAGACACACCCGGTGTGTGTTACTGGTGGCGTGTTCCGGCCCTCCTGGCTCATTCCCAGGGCCTAGTCAGCAGGTTCGTAGGGGCCCTGGCCTTCGGCTGCTGCTGCTGAATGCCAGGTCAGTTAACAACAAGGCCCCCCTCATATGTGACTTGATCACCGAGGAGGGGGCAGACCTGGCATGCATTACTGAGACCTGGCTCTGCTGAATGCCAGGTCAGTTAACAACAAGGCCCCCCTCATATGTGACTTGATCACCGAGGAGGGGGCAGACCTGGCATGCATTACTGAGACCTGGCTGGGGCCTGAGGGGGGTGCCCCTCTCAGAAATGTGCCCAGCTGGGTTCTCAGTGTGGCACCAGCCGAGATGCCAGGGCAGGGGAGGAGGGGTGGCTGTTGTGATCCGGGAATCTCTAGTGGCCTTCAGGGGCATTGCTCCACAAGGTTCCAGCTGTGAGACACTGTTCATTAGGTTGGGCACCTGTGAACAGTTGGGAGTTCTGCTATTGTACCAGCCTCTCTGCTGCGTGGCAGCCTCCCTGCCTGAGCTACTGGAGGCCATCTCAGGGCTGGTGGTGGAGTTCCCCAGGCTTATGGTTCTGGGGGACTTCAACCTACCGTCCTTGGGGCGGTCCTCGGAGGCAGCTCGGGAGTTCACAGCTCCCATGGCAGCCATGGGCCTGTCTCAAATTGTGCGGGACCCAACCCGAGACAGTGGCCACATGCTGGATTTGGTTTTCTTGTCGGAG